GAACGATGGCCGATTGTCGACGTCTGCGCTGCTGCCTGACCGCATCCGTTATTCCTCTGTGAAGGAGCGTGAAAAGGCGGTTTCGAAGCATTACGGGCATTTTGCGCGTATTAAAAAGCAGTTGTTTTGTGTCTGTTATGTTGACACGCCTGGCGATCAGCACGGTGGAATATTTTGACGAGAAATTCTACCCAGATTGCGTGGAGGATGTCGACTACAGCTTACGTCTCCGTTTGCTTGGATTTCGGGAGCGAAATGTCTTATGCGGCAAATTTGTGCATCGCGGCAACTATAATATTCGTTTCTCTAATGAGATGGAGCCACCGGACGCTCTCTGGTACCGTCGCGTCAGGTCTTTGAGTGCGAAGGATGCACATGCCATGATGAATTGGGGCCCTCAACGGGCGTGCAGTGGCGGGTGCAAGGGGCCATATGACGGCATGGTCCCCCGAAGACTTTTGGGTGAAGGATGAGGCACGCATACAGCGCATTCGGGCCTACGGGCATGATGAGGAGCAAGGGGTTCCAAAGGTTGACTATGACAGGACACTTTTGCATCCTGTAAGGACGAAAGGAAGATGAACTGGCGCCAGTCGCAAGTTTTATGTTTTTATTATTTTATTTTGTTTTATTTTTTACTTTAATTATTAAAAGTTTCCTTTTTATTTATATTTACACAAATGATATTTAAGCGAGTACGCCATGGGTTTTAAAGAGTGCAACCATATATTTGGCATGACAGGGGGAGGGCGCAGCGTCCAAAACTTGGCCGTGTTGCCGAGGGTAGGTGAGGGAGGTAGAAAGTAAGAAACGTGAAGATGATGGATGAGGGAGAAATAACAGGGGAGGGAAGCAGAAAACAAGCCAAAAATATTGTGGGCACAACGCTGTTTCTCACGGCGGGCGATCGACGCCCTCATTGGCTACTAAGTTACCCACTGAAGGTGACGCCCGTTTCCGCTGGATATGCTGCGTGCATATCTGTCGGGCTCTTTTTTGTTGGTTTGTTTGTTTCCCGCACATTTATTTCTCCGTGCCGCCTGACCCACTCGTTTATTATTCCCCTCTCTGTTTTTGTGCGTGCACCGAGGGAAGGGCTCGGGGACATGAAGTGCGCTCCCCTTCTGTGAGATGCCACCAAAAACGGGAGAACAAAAATAAAAGTGAAGCGGGGAGGGGAACCATCGTCACGCGTCCTTTTCTCCGAGAAGGCTGCTCGCCACGCCACTGAGGCGCGCCGTGTGCTTCACGAGGCCCGCTGGACTCGATTGGGGAGCCGTGAATGATGGCGCGTGTGAGTGTGGCGGATGCGTCCCCCAGGCGTCCCTAGAGGACCCTCTGGCCATTGGGACTGCGTGGAATGCGGGAGTCCGCGGGGATATTTGGCCGTTTTGTTGTATTCTTCCATCCGCCCATCCCAAACCTCAACACGGCGGCTGAGCCAACGACTGCGACGGGATCCGTTGCGTATTTCTGAATCTTTTTTGCGTTGCAGCGGCAGGCCTGGTGTGCCCTGCTTGGCAGACACGGTGGACGGGAGTGGGCTGCCGTATCGGGAAAGCGATGGTCACGGCGGAGTGTGTTGTGTACTTTGCAATTTGGCGTGTTTGTGGCAATCCTTGCGGATGATGTGACGGCGCCTGTTTTACTTGTAGGGAGAGAAGCGATGCTCCACGGTGATGCACACGTTGCGTGTGGAGGTTTGTCTTGCTGTTGGTTTGTGAACGTTTTTTTCCCTTTTGCAGAAACACCACAGAGGGCGGTGTCTGCGGACAGCAGAGAACCGCGAGGAGGGGCATCACCCGATTTTTGGCGCGATGAGGCGGCTTCTGTGATTTTACGGTGTTTATTTTCAGGATTGAGAGGCTATCCTTTGCTGGAATGTATTGTGGGAGACCATCCGCGTGTTTGTTTTTTAGTTAACCCCTTGGCATTTGGTGTCTGCCGTGAAACAGATGTTGATGGCCTTTTTATGGCGGCGAGATGCATGTTTATTTATTTAATTGGCGAGTGTGTGAATTGTTTTGCGTTCTGCCACGCGGCTTGTTGCTGACGGCACGTGGCCGCAGGGAGACGTTGTGAGCGCCTCTGAAACGAGGTGCGATTGAGCAGTCACCTCCTCCGCTCGCCGGTACACGCTGTTGAGGCGGCGTGATGGTAATGAATCGGCCTCTCAGAAAAGCAACGAGAGGACATTTGTTCTTCCTGCTGCGGTGTACGAGTGGACTCTCCAATCCGTGGGCGGGGTTGCTCTGCGTGCCGTATTTCTTTGAATTCCATGAGTTTTTTACATCGCCATCCACACGCACATGCACGCAGTCTCCCTGTTTGCCCTCCTGTGGGCGGGAGACCGGGATGCAAAGGGAAAATGTGGCCCGTGCCTGCATGTGGTAAATTCTTTCTTGGGAGGGATTGCGACTGTGATGTCCGTCCTGGCAGGCAGGAATGGGATGGGCGAAGAGCAGAGGGCGAGTAACAACGATCGTGTGCGGAGCAATGCGCAGTGAGTAGGGCGAATTGGTATTTGTGTTGACTTTTAAATGCATTTTTGTCTTTTTCTTATCTGACGATGGAAATAAACTTTGGGTGACGTGTTGTGGATTATTTGCACATGATTCAGCGCGGCAACACCATTTGCGGAGAAAATGAGTGGCATCTGCGTGCGGCTTGTTTTTTGAGCGCGAGATGGTCGGGGAGGTGCTCAACGCTCCGAGAGGCCAGGAGCAAAGAGGCGCGCACTGCTGCAAGCAGAGGGATGCACGCTCCTGTTGGTGGCGTTTCTGTGGAGCCCTGAAGTGCCTGCAGGGAATTTGTTTCTGCCGCCTCATTATTTTGTTGATTGGTGCTTGCCGAGGCCTTTTGAGGCGGGACGTGGGATGGACCGAGAGAGCGTGTGTCGTGCGGCGGTGCTGTGATTTGGTGCTGCCCACGTTTGTGCAGATAATTCCGTTTGTGTCCGCGTTCTTGCCGCGGCGGTGCACCGGGAGCGTGTGACTGATCACTGTATCACTTGCGGACTGTTTTGGCAGGAATTTGAATGGCGTCGCCGAATGATGAAATTCCGCGTCCATTTGTGTGTGTGTGTGTGTGTTGGCTTCCTCTGTGACTTGCCGTGTTGTTGTTTTTTTTATGTGGGCGATGTTTTTCCGTGATGTCCCTTACAGATTTTATTTTGTCCGCACCTTGCGTGAGTGATGTGCCCTGCTCTGCTTCTCGCTGACGTGTCTGATGTATTGCCGCTCTTGCTGCTGTACTCTCCACTTCTTGAACACAGACACACGCTAGGAAAGGAAGTAAGTCTAAACGCTAATCGCTACTGTGAAATTCGAAGGCTCTGAAAGGACCAACAGCACATACGCCGCCCACACACATATTTATATGCTCTCACGTGTTGCTGCAGTGAAGGCACCCCGCACACACAACCGTCGCCGCGTGACCGGATCCCGCGGGAGGAGGAGGGAAGGAAGAGAGAGTGAGCCGGAGAGGCGCAACATGTCGCGGCATCTCTTCTGCACTGCAGTGCTTCTCATTGTTGTGATGATCTGCTGTGGATGTGGAGCTGCGCACGCTGAGCAGGCAGGGGCCACTGTTGATCCGTTCACAGGGACGACGCCGATATCATTTGCTAATTGGAAGGAGTTTAACGAGGCCGGGAGGAAAATCACCTCGCTCCGTGTTCCTGGCCTCGTTAAAGTGGGTGAAGATGTATTTGCCGTTGCTGAAGCGCAGTGCGGGGAGGAGAACGGAGCCGGCCGCCGTGCTGGGATTGTCTCAAAGCACCTGAATATAAGTGATGACCCAATGGATATTTCGACGTCGGATATAAGTTTGTTTTGCATGCAACTTGTGGACACCGCCGCGAATAATTTTGGGACAACGGAATTGTTGCGACCAACGACGCTTGTGTTTGGTAACAGTGTTTACATGCTCCTGGGAAACCAAAGCCGTACAAAGCCGCAGTTTCAAGGTGAGAATGAGCGGGGTCTTTTACTCGTGAAGGGAACTGTCGCCAATGAGGGTGGAAACAACAAGAAACTTTTGTGGAATGAGGCCCATTTGGTGAAGCCTGAACCCAGAGGAGATTCTTATTCCTTGACCGAGTTAACTGGCGGTGGAGGATCGGGTGCTGTGATGCGTGACGGCACG